AAAAAACCTCAAATTTTGCTGGTGACACCATTATCAGAGCTAGTTATTGATCTGCTGGGTCTTCCTGTTTCTTCCCTTGTTGTTCCCTGCAACTGGAAGGATAGAGGAGAACGCTACTTGTGCTCCTGATCTGTTAGCCAGTTGTCCCAAGGCCCTGAAGATTCTTTTGATTGCCCTTGGACTTCTTATGGCAACTTCATTGCTGCCTACATGAAAATCTTACTTAGTAAGGTTCTCATTCGAGTGGCTCACATTGGAAATTCTATGTTACATGCTTGTTTCTTGACAAATGTAATTCCACAACATTAAAATTCTGTAGCTTAACGTCTGGTAAATAGGACTCCAGATGTCAGATTCTTCTGATGTTAACATTACACCAGTGGTTTAGAAAGTGACACTACTGAGCTGAAGCCTTTTTCAAGGCCTAATGCATTTGGACACAAAATCTGGCTTAAAGGGATTCCCTGGTGGTGTAGAGCTGCAGTAGGAGCTGTGTCATGGCCTGGCAATGAAGCCATGGGCCTGCTGAGAAGCGCAGGTGGCCAGAGGACATAGTGCTAAGGGTATTCTGCCTGGAGCCAACACAGCCCTTGGAGAGCTATCACAACAGGTCACAGGTGAGATAGCTTGCATTTGCCCATGTTTGTCAACAATTTGACAGGAAACTTACCAACAGCATTCTAAGTTGTCTACCTGAAAATATCAGCCTAATCTGTCAAGCAGGAAAAAGTCATTAGTCTATCTTGCATAGGATATAGTCTTCCTAACTCCTACAACGACCAATGCAACTTCATGTGTTTGGTGTCAGACTGACAACTATCCAAAACTGGGACATCACAACAGCTAAATTCAAAGATCCTGTTTTACTTGCTTCATGCACCATGTGTATAGGCATTAAGTGTGGGTAGAAGTTGATATTGGCTGCTAATAGTGTGTGAAAATACCAGCTAGCATCTGTAAGACTGGAAGGTCTTTTGACAGATGAACGGCTTTGATTGGTTGACATAACCATTCAGAAGTGCTTGCTATTTTTCAAAAGTCTTATGCCATCTTCTAGCAATGATTAAAAATTATAAAGTTATTGACAAAATACAGCAGGTTGTTAATGAATAGCTTATTTGTCTTCTCTGAAATGTACACATTGTTGTGAAGATTTTCTTGCTGGCCACTGAACTTATACCTGGTTACTGGTCAACCTACAGCAATTTAAATCTGGCCAATCTAGTTCTCCGATCTAGGAGTATAGATAGGCTTGTCTCTTTCTCACTCCCAGACTAGTAATGCTCTGTTCCCAACAAGAATAATGACTGTTTTTTATTAAATACTGTAATGAAGCTATTATATTAAATTGTATATTTTATTAAGCAATTATATTAAAATGTATGTTAAATTACATTACGTGACCAATTCTCTGCAGTGGTCACTCTCTATTGGAAGCAGCAGATACTTTGGCTAACCTAAAGGGATGTGACATATCTCTGGTAGTCTGTTACTCCCCAGCAAATGAGATGACTCGGTTTCCCTAGGAAGAATACCTCCACTGGGACTAGGAATGTCATGGAAATGAAAAAAGTGGCTAGAGTTTTGATTTCCTTTTGTCTTTCAGTTTCATTTTATTTCACTGTGCTGAAGTGTTATTGTCTACACTTTAGAGCCAGGAAGAGTGAAGGATGTTCTCTAAAAATTTCCCTGCAAATTAATAGAATTCCTGCACTGCGAATGGTCTGTTTCCCCAGAGACAGTATTTGACAGTATTTGGAGCTTCATTTACAGAAAAAGAATTGTTCAGATGATTTGATTACTGTTCTTAAAACCGTAGTGTTTCATTCTGTATCTTTCAACGTAGAGACAAGTCAGCATTAATGCAGCATTCCCTTTTTCTGAATGCAGTTGTGTGCTTTGTTGTTGATCACACAACTGACAGAACACGGAGCCTTTGCATACCAATGTGCCATAGCAAAACCAGATCAATAGTTTTGAAGCCTTCACAAAAACAGATGTTCTCTAGTATTTTTCCATATAATCAGTTAATTGACTGCTTTAGTTAGAAAACACCCCTCTTATTTTGAAGCGAAATGGACCGTATCTTTTTATCTACCGACAAATTATATGTAAGACTGACTAACCACAGAATATCCCAAAATTAGTTTCTTTCTGACACAACCAGGTAATAAGTTCTTGAGGAAAGATACATGCTAGCTGACCACAAAACAACAATGAAAAAATTACCAAGAAAAAATTCTTGCCAATGCCTGAGTTAATTCTATTGACATGCATTTAACGAATGCTGTTTACTTGCCAGAAAATTAAACAAATAACGAGCACTACTTTAGCAAATCACTAGCTGGCTCAAGTGTTTTTCATGAATTAATCTTTCTTTTTATGAATGTAAGACAGAAAAAAAAGAGAGGAGATCTTGCAACCAGTAATGACATCTGTGAGCTCCTTCTGTGTGTTCTGCAACAGCAAAACACTGCCAGGGACTATAGCGAGGGACAGGGTTGCCATGCAGCCCAGCAAAACAGCCCCCTGAAAAGGCGTCCTGACCCACTTTCAACTACCAACTCTTGCTGACCCTTTGTTGAGTGAGAGGTTCTTCCAAGTTTTTGTTGTTTTCACCCTTTCAGTTCTCATTTCTAAAGGAGTGAGCCTGTCTCTCTCTCTCCTCGTTTCCTTCTTTCTTCCCCAGTATGCACAGAAGAAAGGCAGATTGTTTCTTGTGACTGTCTTTGCTTTAGTTAATTTAAAAAAAAAATAATAGATCTTCCACCCCTTCCCTTGTTAAGACATGCTGTGGAAGAAATATGGGTCTTGCCATCAACAAAATTATGATACAATTCCTTAAGGAACTCAGTATGATCAGAGTACTTCATCTACGAAAAACCATACTTTAATTGTTACTCTTGGCAACAGTGAAGGATAATAGTGTAATATTATACTAAATATTGCCACGTGCAATAGTAAAAAAAACTGTTTCAGTCTTGCCAGCAGTGGTGTGCAAACCCCCTTTTGAATTCAGGTTTGGATGTTGTGATTTAATCTAAATCTTTTGTTTCTCCTTCTTCCAAAACCAACAGAGGTTTAAAGAGCTGCATTTTTATTGGAACCATTTGCTCAGCCTAAGTTGCCAAAATAATTTAGTTAAAACTAGTGATTTTATTTGGGATAGCGTTGATTCCTGAGCTCCACAGAGGTCGAAGCACTTAGTTTGTCTTCCTCTTTTTCAATTCCACCATGGAGTCTACAGCAGAGGTCTGCCAGCTCAAGTTGTATTTCCCGAATCCCAGTCCCCCAGTTGAGCTTATCTATGCTTGTGACTTTGCACATATGGAAGACAAACCTTTTTTTCAGCCTTTTTCCTCGCTATTTATCTCCTGCAACGCATAGAAAAAATGTGTGGCTCCAAGGATTCAGAATAAGCAGGCTCCAGTGGTGCAACAATGCAAGTCCTGCTGCCAATGCTGCTACTGCTGGTGTGTTAGTGTGACCTCTCCTTTGATAATGAGTGACAGCTGCTGTGGAATGCCTCACGGGGTGTTTGCCTCTCTTGGGCAACAAGAGGAAAAACATAAAAATATAGAATTTTGGAACTGAGCTATGGAAAAAAAAAAAAGCTCTACTTTATGCTACTTGAAAAGAGTTGTTTGAACTTCAGATAGCTCCAACAAAATGATAATACAGTCACAATCTCCTGCCAAAACTTTTCAAATCCTGGGAAGTGTTTTACAATAACAAAAACTGTAACGTTATTGCAATTAAGGAAGTATCTATTTCTCACTGTGTTATGTGTTTTGTGTGTGGGCATGTGCTTGTAAATGGGACAAAACCAGGCTCTTGAATGTTAGAACCTTCATGAGATGAGCGGGTTCGAGTCAAATACCCATTTCTAAATCTATCCTCTGTAATAAGAGCCTGGTTTGGATCAAAAAATGAAAGTTTTTTTGGTTTGGTTTCTATTCCATTGCAGCAGAAATGTCATAGGTCAGAATGATGTATTAAAGATGCTATACGGTAGCAGTGCCTTGATCTGAAATAGATTAAAGCTAGGCTTCAGTTTTACAGTGAAACCAGGGCAAGGGTTTGGTGGTTCTTGTATATTACATTCTTCTTTTAGGAGAGTTTAGCACAAAACAGTTCAAATCTCATCTTCTAATGAGTATTGCAGTCTTGGGTGAAGTTCTTATGAAAAGAGAACCAGAAATAAGCCATTCCGGGTGATTTTTCAGATGAAATCCAAATTGAAAGCAGTAAGAATTTAGTGAATGTGAATCAGAAGCCAGTCTGTGTTGACATACAGTATTCTATGGGTTCAAGGTCTAGTTTTAACCCATCCTGAAAATATATATCTTATTTAATGGCACAAATGTTTACCTCTGCTTGCATTACAAAAGAGAAAAAAGTTAAAAAGATATAGCTTTAATACAAAATTACAAGACTGTACAAAAGTTTAGAAACCTACATGACAGCTGACTGAATAGTATGATTTCTGACCCATTGAAAGGCCTCATAGCTCGAGATTTGATTTTATCCTAAATCTGACGGAAATCTTAAATATAAATAATGTAGGTTGAATCATATAAAACAGAAATTTGAAAATACTGTTTTGTCATTTTAAATCAAAAATGTCAACAATTCTGAATGAGAACATGGTCTGAATCCAGAAATTTCTGTATTCTCAACTCTAGACTATCAGAATACTACCTATACATGGAAAAATTAAAAAACACCAATTTACTTAGTTTTCTGCAAGTAGTGCATGAAATAGGACTGAAAGGGACTGAGAAGATCTGGACAATGCATTTTGTAGCTGCCATTTTTGGGTTTAGCCATTCTAAGAGGTTTTCCTCATAAAAGAGAAGATAGGTCCCTTCAGTTTGAGCCTGAAAGTTCTCAAAACTATGCACAACATAGGGTGAAACAAACTAATCAAGATTATTTCTTTTCCAAAAACATCAAAAAAGATGTTGCCTCTGATGGCAAAGAAGAAAGGAAGCTCTCACCCTTATAACCAGCCGCATTCGTTTTCCAGTCGTTAGCATTCAGGTGTCCTGCACGTGAAGTCCTGACAATAATATGCTGAATGTCTCTCCAGGTCAGAAATGGACTAAGAAAAAGGGGAAAGACAAAGTCACAGATCAGACATATTTCACCAGAATGTAGGGATACAAGGTCTTGTAAGCTAAAAAGTATCCAAACCAAAACAAACCCTCATTTCTCTCCTCTGCTTTCTTTTGCTCCATTCAAAAGAATGTGTCCTGATTTTACAGAATTACTACAGGAAATTATTTATACAGCTGGGAGGTTTGCATTAAGAAGACTATAATGATATACAATAATATTCTATTATATAAAACTTAAGAAAGATGGAGCACATTTCACCGAGGCAACTCGTATGACCACCACTACTGTATGTTATCTACCTTGACCAGTGCAAAGGAAAGCAAAGCAAAATGTTGGCTTGCTGAAAAGCTCTACTAAATCTTGCTAACTGTGTGCTCAAGATGGCAATTCCTTTTGACTTTCAGCTCCTATTGAAGCTTTTTCAGGTGCCTTTGTTGTTGTTCATTTGGCTATTAACCCTGGTCTTGGAATTCACTGAAGGTCTATGTGTATTCTTCAAGAAGACCAAGCAGCCAGCATCGAATCTGAACAGTTACAGAGCAAGTGCCTGATTGCACAGATAGTATTCCTTTAAGGGATTCCTAATAACCTGTCCACCGGGAAGGTGAAAGAAGATGTTGTTTGCATTCTCACTATGACATTAATACCCCTTTATCTTTTATGACTAGAGCAAATCTTTAGGGATTATAGTTTTCTTGTTTCTCTTTGATCCACCCCAAGGAGAATTTATTTTCTTAGAAGATGATCAAAGGTCAATGGACATCATGGGGTATTTTTTCTTTCTCCTTCCAATTCCTTAGTATTTCTATCATCTCTAAGAAGATGAATAGTATTCCATTTAACAATGCAGTTTAGTAGAGGGAATGATAAACTGAGCCACTAAATAACGAAGAGGAAAAAAGTATTGTGGTGCAGAACATCAGTCATTCATTATCATCCTCAGACTATCACTATCTGCCCCTATCACACACACTGGCACAACTCAATTCCACTCAGTTGTAATGATGAAGATAGACCACAATGAAGTTTATCAGACCCAGCATCGGCTGTCTACACTGTCCAGGACTAGGCGGTCACTGAAAATCTGGGAAACTTTGGTTCAGTTCCTTAACACACACTCTTGTGTCTCTCAGACCAAGAAATCATTTGGGCCAGCAGCAAGTGACTTATTCTTGGCACTTATATTTAAAGCTGCAGCTTTAGGAGAAGTCAGTAGGGATGCAGAAGTTACTCCAAATCTGCAGTCAAGTTATTGATAGAAAAACTTGCTCCTAGCCTATCCTCTGTGCACAAGTAGATATATATTCATGGATATTAACCAATGGAAGTTCACCTGTGTCAGTGGAATTACTGAAAATGAAAACGAATTTCAGAACCATGGTCTATAATTCCATACAGGAGAGAACAACTTGGGACATATAGGACATTCAATCACATATAACTGATTTTTACACATTTTACTTTCTGATAGCCTTATAATCCATACGCTTGAAAATGAAGTAGGAGTTGCCTAAAAATGTCAGACTTCTTCCATGTAACAAGATTGTAAGGAATAATGCAAGGACAGCAACCAAACCAGTTAACTATACATACTTTTCTTGTTTCCTTTGCAGTAATATGAATTTAATTCTGAGTGTAACTTTTCCATTGCAGAATATTTCCCAGCGGGTGTGCATGGACCATGGGTATGCTAATGTAACCTAGCACCCATCTACCTACAGCTAGGACACCACAGGAAGTGGCATGTATTCTAGAGTCAACAAAAAAAGGCCTGCCTATGCTTGTTCTTGAAACAGGAAGAGGAGATGGAATAATCTGAAGAAGGAAGATGGTTTTGAAGTGAATCTCTTATTAGTCGTAGCCAGAATTTTTTATAATTTCTTCTAAGCTCTATCAACTCATGGGCATTCAATTTTTCTCTATTTTTGTCTACAAGATATAAGAGTATTCCCATGTTCAAATTATTCTCTTATTTTTAAGGAGAGCTCATGCCTTCTGTCCCTGAGCATTTATTAAAGCATTAATATGCCCATAGATACATTTTTTTCCTTAAAACGGAATTTCTCACACTAGACAGTTGGACTGGAATGAGAGTAATTGTTTATCCAGCTGAGCTGGTAAAAATGACAGGAAAAAAAAAGAAGAAAAAAATTGTCATGGAATGTAAGGAGTGTTAAGGGTTTGTAAGATAGGGTATGCTTGGATAGTCACGTAACATACTTCAAGAAAAAAAATCAATATGATTTTATACCAGCTCAGGAATTTCACCAGGAGCCTGTGTAAAGTCTTAGAAAAACATGTTTCAAGCCTTCAGGGAGACCTCCAGGAATCCCAGGAGCTGCATTCTTTATAATCTGGAATCTAAACAATCTGTTATTCTATAAAGCAAATTGTCCATGCTACTGGTGAAAAATAAGGCACTAAAATACTCCTCTCAACTTCTAAAGGAGAGATTCAAGGTAGGGCACACTCAACTGATTATTTAAAGAGGAATGGATCTATTGGTGGATCTCACTATCCCTAGATAAAGGATCTAAAGATATAGCAGTCTTCACCTGATAATATTAACCTGTCATAAATTGGACTTAGTCACTCCGTCAGCAAATGACATTATGTCTCAGAATCATGGTTTACTTCTAAAACCAAAAATCATGGCAGATCTTGAAAACTGAGCCAGTCACTGTTGTACCTACCACCCTTATCTAATAATAAAAAATAATGTAAGAATTTCTGGGGCATAAAACCTTGATCGAAGGTCTGATTTCCAGAGCATGCATGACATGGTATATAGCTGAATCACTCTGCCTCTTATGCAACCTCCAAATCTACTCGCTTACTGTATAATTCATAAGGGTTTTATGTTTTCTTATCAACGAATGGCAGTTTGGGCATATTTATATCTGAGAGATTTAACAGCATAAGAACAGTATTCAAATAATTTCCGAAGCCTCCTATGAGACCTTAACTATACTAAGAATTGAGCTATTGCCAGATTGAAATTTTCACTCTACAGTAGACATGTCATTTGAAACAAAATAGGTCTGCAATTGTTTGTCTATATTTTTTTTTTCAGAAACTCTAACAAAAAGAAAAAAAGACATTGGAATTATGTCAAAATAGCAGTTCATTTGGAGAAAGAAGAGATTTTTTCCTCGGTTTGTTTTTTGGGTTGTTTTTTTTTTTTTTTTTTTTTTTTTTTTTTTTCCAAATAGCCTAGCAACAAATTTTTATCCTCGTTTTTTTTTTTGGGGTTTTTTTTTTTTTTTTTTTTTTTTTTTTTGTTACCAGATAGCCTAGCAGCCAATTTTATAGCATCTGGAAAAATCACTGAATTGGTCAAATATTTGTAAAACATGTCAAAATAGGATCCTAAGTGAGTAAACAGTTGTTTGCTAGCCATGTGAGCCCCAGATCCAGACAAGATGTCACTGATGTTAATTGACTTACCACTTGATTAATCTCAGAAGAATTAATGGCTAAACATCTTGAAATGAACAAATGCATTAACAAGAACAGTACTAACTGCTTGATAATGGATTGATTTCAAAAAACGTACAATTTCCTTCCAGAATTTTTTTTTCAATGTCTCATCTGAAATTGCCTTGGGATTACACATACCAGACAATACTCAAAATCAAACCAGAATAAGCAGAAGTGAGAACAATTACATTCAAAAGTGCTTGTACAGCAGCCAAAAAATAATGAATGTTGTGTCCTTAACCAACAGTTACACTCCAGGGGTACAGCCCTCTTCTTTCAGGCTTCTCAAAATGTTTATTAAACAAGGTAAATGAGAAAAAATGAAATAGGACAAACAAATTATATTACAGTAATATTAATTGGAGATTTAACAATATCTTCAAGCAGGCTGTTTAGAAATAGTAGAACAACATTTTTGGCCAAATCTGATTTCTTCATTTGACAAGTAGTCTGCCTAGTGACAATTCAGTTAATCCTGGAAACTAGGCTCTATCCTTTTGCATAACGATACTGTACCAAAAATAACTGTTCAGCATAAAGAATTGGTGCAAGAGAGATGATTAGCAAAAATACGCAACAGAAAAATAGGGTGAAGCTTTGGTTTGGGTTTGTTTTTAGCAAAATGATATGGTTAGCAACATGAACAATGATTGCTACATTATATTCATAACCAGCAATTTGAATGTGACAAAGGTGGCCTAACTGAAAAAGTATTTCTTGCCAAAACAGCAGAGCCTGATGAGAATTGCTGGAAGAATACAATAAACTTTTCTCCAAAGAATCAAGGGAAAACACAGTATCACAGGGCGGATTAAGAAGAGGATCACCATTCAATTTGGAAGTATCAAGTGATCTTCTTTGGAAATCTGGCCTATGAGAGAACAGACATGGATAATTATTATAAAAAGGAGTCTCTGTACCCTAGATGTCTTGTGGAGCAGTAGGAGATAATTTTCATCACTAATTTCTGCATAACAACACCCTTAAGGGCTTCAAGATAAAATTATAAATAAAACATAAGAAATAGTTGTCTAGTTTATTCACACATTCCCATCACTTACAAATCAGCTGAATTGCCCCATGAGGTTCACAAACCTAGTACCTGTCCTAATGACTCCAATATATAGCCCAATGGGCAAGAATATTAGCAATGTTAATGGGAGACATTCTTCTTCCCCAGGTTGCATAAAGAGTCAGTGTGAAGACACCTGTTGCAGCACAGAACTTTAAGAGGGATGAGACATGAAGACAGTTTCTAAATGTTCTGTTTATCCTCAGCTTAGGTGTCTAAATGGCCTACACCGCAACCATTTTGTTCCCGGAAATAAGAAGGTACAAAAATGGACCCCAGTGTTTAACAATCCAGTCACGCACACATGGACATACAAAACATGTTTTTGACATGTCTGACATCCTTATAGGTTCTAATTGACATATATTCTGCAAATAATCCTCTTAACTTCCTGCTAGAAAAGTAAAGAATATTACGTGCTTTAAGTTTCT